ACATCCCCGTGGTCTTCCACAACTTGAGAGGGTACGACTCTCACTTGATCATGCAGGCCATCGCGAAAGTCGACGGCAACCTGACGTGCATCCCCAACAACATGGAGAGATACATCTCCTTCAGCTTGAATGGCCTGAGGTTCATCGACTCGGTTCAGTTCCTCCTGTCGTCACTCGACAGTCTGGTCAAGGCCAACGATACCTTCCCCATCACCGACAGATACACTGACGCCGAGACTCGACCCCTGCTGATGAGGAAGGGTGTGTACCCCTACGAGTACATGGATGGCTGGGCCAAGTTCGCCGAGACCCGACTAACCCCCATCAACCGATTTTACAGCAACCTGACCGACTCGACAATCACCCAAGACGATTACTCGCACGCGATTAACGTATGGAATAAACTGGGCTGTAAGAATCTGGGTGACTACCACGACCTGTACTTGAGGACAGATGTACTCCTGCTAGCCGACGTGTTTGAGACGTTTAGGAGGACGTGTTTTAAGCAGTATCAACTCGACCCCACATGGTACTACACCAGCCCAGGTCTGTCGTGGGATGCATTGCTGAAAAAGACCGGAGTTAAGTTGGAATTGCTCACCGATTACGACATGCACCTATTCATTGAGAAAGGCTTGCGCGGTGGGATTTCCATGGCTACCAAACGCTACGCAAAAGCCAATAATCAATACGTGAAGGGCTACGACCCGAGCAAGCCAACCAATCATATTCTCTACCTCGACGCCAACAACCTGTACGGCTGGGCCATGAGCCAGTATCTACCACAAGGGGGATTCGAATGGGCATCACCCGAGATCGATGTTATGAGCATCGCGCTGGATTCGAACAAAGGCTATATCCTCGAGGTGGACATGGAATAGCCCAAGGCATTACACACATCGCACAACAGCCCCCTGGCCCCCGAACGTTTGAGGGTTAACCCAGACTGGATGTCCGAGTACCAACATAACATGTTAGGTGGGCGGGTGGCAGACGTTGAAAAACTAGTGCCTAACTTAATGAATAAGCCCAAGTACATCGTTCACTATCGCAACCTACAGCTGTACCTGTCGTTGGGTATGAGGCTGACCAAAATACACAGGGTGCTTGTGTTCGACCAGAGCCCCTGGATGGAGCCTTACATCAGAATGAACTCGGACCTGCGAAAGCTGGCCACCAGTGACTTTGAGAAAAACCTCTACAAGCTCATGAACAACTCGGTGTTCATTAAGACTATGGAGAACCTGAGGAAACGCGTGACCGTGAAGCTGGTTCGGTCGAAAGAGGAAGACAAGCTCAGGAGACTGATAGCCAGCCCAGCATTCAACCGGGAGCAAGATATTCACCGACGACCTGGTTGCCCTACACATGAAGAAAAGCCACATCAAATTCAACCGGCCTGTTTACGTGGGGATGAGCATCCTCGATTTATCTAAACAACTGATGTACCTGACTTTTACTACAACGAGCTCAAGAAACAGTACGGCGACAGGTGCGAAGTGTTGTACACAGACACGGATTCCCTGCTGATGGAGATTCGAACCGAGGACGTGTACGACGACATGAAGAAACGCCTCGATTTGTATGACACCAGCGACTACCCCAAGGACCATGCCATACACATCACGGTAAATAAAAAAGGTCCTAGGTAAGATGAAGGAAGAGTGTGCTGGTACGCCCATAGCCGAGTACATAGGCTTGAGACCCAAGATGTACTCCATCCTGAAGGCCGACAACGGTGAGATCCGGAAGGCGAAGGGTGTTAAGAAGAACGTGGTTAAACAACACATCAAACACGCCAGATTCAAGGAAGCCCTGTTCAAGACCCGTACCTTCAGACATAAAATGAACACGCTTAGAAGTGATGGGCATAGGATATACGGACTGACGATAAACAAGACGTCCCTGTCGCCGATGGACACTAAGCGTTGGATAGCTATTGATGGGATCAACACGTACGCGTACGGGCATGAGAAAATTGAACCAAGAACATAGGTGCATATATATACACGATACCCTGTGACAACGATGTCACGGAACCAGAGAAAGTTTGAGGCTATTTACTACAGCCCACGTGGGTACTGGAAAGGAGCTAGTGCCGTACATAAGCTGGCCAAAATGGCGCGACTACACCCGGACGAGGCCAAAGCGTGGCTTGAAAAACAAGCCCTGTGGCAGATCTATTTACCGGCACCACGCTACGTGCCTAGAAGGAAGTTCGGTATTACCGACCCCAATAGCATTCACCAGGCCGACCTCCTGTTCCTACCCCATGACAAGAGGTACAAGTATGCCCTAACCGTCGTGGACGTGGCCAGTCGCTACAAGGAAGCCAAACCCTTGACCGCTAAAGACTCGGCCCAGGTAGCCCGCGGATTCGAACGCATATACAAACGCAGTCTGCTGATGTGGCCCACAGAGCTGCAAGTCGACCCCGGGCGGGAGTTCATGGGTGCCGTGTCACACCTGCTAGACAAACACGATACCAAGGTCAGGCATGGCACGGCCGGAGCCCATAACAGCCAAGCCATAGTTGAGAGATTCAATAGGACTTTGGCCGAGCGCTTATTCGGGCATCAGTATGCGAGAGAGATGGCCAACCCGGGGAAACGATTGACTGAATGGGTAGCGCGGCTACCTTAGGTGGTGTCGGCCATCAACCACGAAACCACCCGTCTCACCGGCAAGAAACCAGCCGACGCTATCAAACTAAAATCAATAGTGGCTGAGTCGGCTGCACCATTGCGTGGGAAGGAGAAACAGATACCCGATAGGGCCCCCGTGAGGTACCTCTACCAGCCGGGGCAACACGAAGGGGACACTCGGAAACGAGCCACTGATCCGATATGGTCAGTCAAAACTTACAACATAGATAAAGTGGACATCAAAGCCGACGAGCCGAACTTGTACTGCTTGAGAGATGGGCCAGGGAGAGGTTTCGTTAGAGAGGAATTATTAGTTATACCGTACGGCACAATGTTACCCCCCAAGCAAAATATTTAACACTTACTGTTGAGTAATCCAAATAGTATCCTGTATCACATTAAACTGTTTTCTCGAGGTCAACACGACATGTCACATGATCAGGAAAGTGCTAGTTCGCTATCTCAGGATAGACCCGTTAATCTGAGATTATTCAGGTAAGTCCCCGGTAGCTCAATCGGTTGAGTGGTGCGGCCCATTATGTATAGTTTGCACGAGCTATACATGTGGGTTCGTATCCCGCCGTTGCCTCAGTGGAGATTCCTTACAACTTTGTGTGATGTGAGGTGTTTCGGTAAGGAATCAGGATGATATCAGTTGGGTCGCTGAAAAGGGCTTAGCTGAGCGGGGCACTCTCATGGCGAGAGAAAGGCAGCCGACGCAATTCCCCTTGGGAGAAGCGCAACATCATCTTTCGATTTCACCCTTGGGGAATTGTGGCTGCCGGGGACATTTTACTACTTTTTAGAACCTTTCTATCTTTCTATAGGTATATTCGCGGTCATAGCAACACTATTGTGTCACGTGGGGTCGGGAAGTTAAGTGGGTGTTCCAAAGTAGTATTTACCATGGGGGCGAGATCTAAGGGCCTGACAAAGCTTTATTTGTGAAATAAAGCTTTACAGAGGCTTTTGTTGGACTTGATCTCGGATAATCATTGTATCTACTACTGTGTGAGATACCAGGCTGGGGAGATAAAATTTCGATATTATAAATTAGTAGGTGCTCTTAGTGGTGTAGGTAAATCTGAACACTACAAGTTTATTATAGTATGTGAGTGAAAGCGAAGAGGTTTTCCCTCATTTAGCAATACGCGTGTCTTCGTCTTCTCGTGATTAAAGGAAACCGTTATGACCACAGGGGCGTGTAACGCAACAAAATCAGCATCCAGCAAAGAGAATGAAAAAATGACGACGAGCACACAAACAGGTGTAATCGATACTGTATGTTTGTACATGGCGTGCGTGTACACGATGTAATCAATAAACAATTTGTTAGTGGTACAAATTCTTAACTATGCTTTTTGCTAGGAATGGAACATTTCTCTTGACCTCGATTCACACCCTTCGTTTCCATATAGTGCTAAGACCCCGATATTGACAATATATACCTTGGTGCTAGTTTTCAGCGTTACAAGCCCCTTCGGCAATGCATTCAGTGTCGGGATGCTTGAACATAAGAGGACATAAGTTCAACCAAGAAACATGTAATACCACGCATATCCAGCTATCAAAAACTGTGTAAATGACACTAGACTTTGGATGCAGAACAATTTCCTTAAGTTGGTGACAAATTAGAAGTCTTGATATTCATCTCAAGACAGGTCTTGTCAAGAACACCATTTCCAAATCTGAAAGTGGGCAGCAACGAGTTCTATTGACTCGCCAGTCGCAGAAGTCCTTGTCAATACATACCATGGTAACATCCAGGCCAGACTACTGCAACAGCCTGCTGTATTGGATCCTACAAAACCAGCTTGACAAGTTACAGGGTGGCCAGAATGCTGCAGCCAGGCCTTTAACACGTAACACCGTATCAAGCAACGGATCAATTACAAGCTTCTGACCTTTGTCTTCAAGTCGCTACAACACACGGCTCCATTATATCTAACTCTAATTGTTTTGCACGTCCCCAAAGATGTCTCCGTTCAGCTTACATTTGGCGATAGAGCTTTTGAGAAAGCTGAGCCAGTTCTATGGAACTCTCTCCCTCTGGACATCAGCAACTGTACCACACTCTGTTCCTTCCAACTCAAACCGCATCTCTTTGCAAAAGCCTACCAGTGATTAGCGCTCGTCAGCAATCTTCCTTGGTGAGGGGGCTATACAAATGACTAGTTTTATCTATCTATTATTAATACAGTTGTACTACCTTGACAATGCCTTGAACGAAGGACAAAACAAACTTAAATTACATCACTTACACAAACAATATCTTTCCAAACAGACAATAGCACTACATTTTGGAAAGTCAGTGTAGCTTCAAATTTCATTTCTGGTGAGGTAAAATTCACATACTTGTAACATAATACGTTGCTCAGGATTCCGATTTCCTGATTCTTGATTTTTGTTCCCCTTTTCTTCAACTGCAACATAAGATTTTATATTTACAGTTAACATTTTCTTAGTATGTGTACCATACAATCATATCCCCATTCATCCAACAAAAAGACCACTCAATCTCACGATGTAAGCCAAAGGTAACAACTTTTCACTGTGAAAAACTAAACTACATTTTCGATTGTTCTAAGAGATCGATAAGCTGATTGCCCAGCAAACATCAGCAAACTAATAGCGTTAACAACCATCAAGGTTCAGGTTGACCATCGCCGTTTGTCCAACGAACGGTCCGAAATCGCCTAAAGTCAGCCGAGTATAGCGCCAGATGACCTACCAGACGTATGTTGTTATCCATAACACCAAGGCAGCACGTCTACCTTTGTGTCAAGCACATGACCGATGGCTGAGATCATGTCTGGCGTCGCAGAAATACTGCATGTGCACAGTGGAAAAACATATAGCATGTGCAGTTAGACCGGAAGGGGGGCGCTTGCGTTGATCGGACAAATTCTGAATGGATCACGGGACACAGAGACAGGGTTGTTGTACTCCATTTCGATGATCATCTTCATGGAAACACGGTGCACATCCCGTTGGTGATTTCTTACGTCAAGAGGCGTTAGCAAGTCTACCTTGACCCACCAGGACTCAAGATTAAAGTCCCATGGATCATGTTTGTCACATTAGGGGACGTAAAATACGCTAGAGAGATCATTCATACATATATTATGTATATACTTACTGCTCCTCGGTCGCACCACACACCATCTACTGAAAGTACATTACTGAAATTGTGTCAGTTCTCCTTCGATGGTTGTGAATGATTAATCGTATTTTATTTCCATGCACAATCATACAACGTTTGCCCTATAATAACATCAACCCACAATGGATTATCCCCAAGTCTAAAATAGTATGTAGTGATGACAATTCTTTGGATTGCTTATAGTAACATAATGGCTGTAAGAGTCAATAATTATCAGGTCTTAATAATATTTGAACCACATTATGCACTTTGTTTATGAATACAAGCCACACAAACATGATGACAGTGATTACCCTGCATTGGTTGTTTAATGAAACCGATTCCATTGAGCATAACTCAAAATATGAAAATATATGGATGGAATGTTGATCAATGTTGACGCAGATGTTGGCATAAAGGATGAAGTTCAGCATACCGCTGTTGAGCATTATTCCGTGTATGTGAACACTGCCTTAAAATAATCCTGTCCCGGCATCTAAGCAATTTGACAATGGCGCATACGTATGCCATGACAGTCATCCAGGTCATAAAATGTCGGTGAAATTACAAGATATTAGGGATTGTGTGAACTTCATAATAAGTGCTAAATGAAAAAGGCTCAGATTAAAATTGAATTTAACTTAGCATGCTTCTGCATTTGTACAAGGAAACTGTTTGACAAATGGTGATTAATATAGCTTGCGTGTTCTTCTAAATGATGCCACTAACATGCACGGGGCAAGAACCTATCCGGTACAAATCGTAACAATCATTGCCATAGAGTCTATTTGTTTTCCAAATTGAACAGATCTACTCACCCAACACAAATGATATTCACCAGCACTGAAACACCCAAGAGGCTTCCAAGGACCACAGTCAAGTGAGGCTGAGCTGAATCACTCTTACAGGTGTTGGGGTTGCTGAAATCTAATGGTCAATTGTGTCCGTATTCGGCGACTTTAAACAAAGTTCATGGAGAAAACGTTATTTAATTTGTTTTCAAACAATAAAATAAATGTAATTTACGTTTTGATAACCCGAATGAAACATGTCACCGAGTCTGATCACGAGATCATATACATTGAGCTGAAACTAGCTGCTGGAGAGGTGGTCACATGACAGCCATAACTGGTAACACTGAAATGCGCCAAGGCGAGAACGATCATACGAGCACACCACTTTCAAACAAACAGATGAAGCAGCACCACAGGGATGTTTTGAATACCCGGACACTGTGTCCTTATGAACCTGGATTGTATATACATTAAAGACGTACGTTTCGGGTTGAAACATTAAAATGTTAATTTCATTCTTAATGACTTCAAAGCAGTTGTAAAGTAATGTGTCTTCAAAGTCCTATGCCTTTGGCAAAATAAAAGCAATGTGATGCGCTTGGTTCAACAACTACCTCAATGGTCCAAGTACAATACACATTTATACCCGTGAAGATCCGGGTTAGAATTGATCTTCGGTAACCCATCGTAAGAGGCGACAAAGGGATCGGGTGGTCAGACTCGCTGACTTGGTTGAGACATGTCATCGTATCCCAAATGCATAGATCGATGTTCATAGTGTTGATCACTGGATGGTCTGGACCAAACTCGATTATTTACAAACCGCCTTCATATAGCTGGAATATTGAGGAATGCTTCGCTAAACAACAACCAAACCAAATAATCCACATTTGATTCAAATCAAAACAAAGCAGCCCATTTCCTATGTTTAACAACTTCATTTATTGTTTGGGACAGTAATTGGCCGATGTAAAAAATATATTCACAACTGAAAGTCCCATGCCTCTAGTTTCCTTGATAACAATGTTAAGTTACCCGACCTTCGATGTCAGCCAAGAACATGGCGTATTATATCTGTTTTACAACATGGTTGCTGACTGCTATACACACCTCATACAAGGGGTTAGCGCAGTTCATAAAGACGCCGAATAACCAGGTTAAGAGTAACCATTCCATTGAACCCATCATTTAAACAAAGCGTCAAAACAGTTTCCCAGTCTTTTCTACCACTGGACAATATAACGATATATACGTTTGGACCTACTATGTACGAAATGCATTTGTGAGAGTTAATGTGAGAGTTAATGTGACCTTCAATATCACTGACAAAATTTTCAAAAACTTTCCAAATAGCCAATGCAAAGGAAAGCATATCTGCATATCGTCTAAAGTCTCAGTGACCTGACACTTCCATCACCAATTCTCGCGTACATATTTATTCAATAACTTCACACACAAAAAAGCTACTGTATCCAACCTAAGCCTCGCCCTGGGATTGACATAGCCGGCATTTCAGTGACCTTCAAAACATCATCTCTCCATGGGATCATCTCCGATTCTCGTGTATGACCTTGACCTTGAAATAACAATACAATGTGCCAAAATAGATTTTCCTGAGGAAGGAACACGATTCTCCTGAAATAGACCGTATGAATTTCTCCTCGAGGACGACATTGGCATTTGACATCATTACTCAGTGTGACGACTATTATACCTAGGATGTCCATTCGCTGACATCATTACCCAGTGTGACGACTATTATACCTAGAATGTCCATTCGCTGACATCATTACTCAGTATGACGACTATTATACCTAGAATGTCCATTCACTGACATCATTACTCAGTGTAACTACTATTATACCAAGGTTGTCTATTCGCTGACATCATTACTCAGTATGACGACTATTATAACTAGGATGTCCATTCGCTCACATCATTACTCAGTGTGACTACTATTATACCTAGAATGTCCATTCGCTGACATCATTACTCAGTGTGACGACTATTATACCTAGAATGTCCATTCGCTGACATCATTACTCAGTGTGACTACTATTATACCTAGGATGTCCATTCGCTGACATCATTACTCAGTGTGACTACTATTATACCTAGAATGTCCATTCGCTGACATCATTACTCAGTGTGATTACTATTATACCAAGGATGTCCATTAGCTGACATCATTACTCAGTGTGATGACTATTATACCTAGAATGTCCATTAGCTGACATCATTACTCAGTGTGACTACTATTATACCTAGGATGTCCATTAGCTGACATCATTACTCAGTGTGACTACTATTATACCTAGGATGTCCATTCGCTGACATCATTACTCAGTGTGACTACTATTATACCTAGGATGTCCATTCGCTGACATCATTACTCAGTGTGACTACTATTATACCTAGGATGTCCATTCGCTGACATCATTACTCAGTGTGACTACTATTATAACTAGGATGTCCATTCGCTGACATCATTACTCAGTGTGACTACTATTATAACTAGGATGTCCATTCGCTGACATCATTACTCAGTGTGACTACTATTATACCTAGGATGTCCATTCGCTGACATCATTACTCAGTGTGACTACTATTATACCTAGGATGTCCATTAGCTGACATCATTACTCAGTGTGACTACTATTATACCTAGGATGTCCATTCGCTGACATCATTACTCAGTGTGACTACTATTATACCAAGGATGTCCATTCGCTGACATCATTACTCAGTGTGACGACTATTATACCTAGAATGTCCATTCGCTGACATCATTACTCAGTGTGACTACTATTATACCTAGAATGTCCATTAGCTGCTGACATCATTACCAGGATGTCCAGTGTGACATCATTACTCAGTGTGACTACTGTTATACCTAGGATGTCCATTCGCTGACATCATTACCCAGTGTGACGACTATTATACAAGGATGTCCACTCACATCATTACTCAGTGTGACTACTATTATACCAAGGATGTCCATTCGCTGACATCATTACTCAGTGTGACGACTATTATACCTAGAATGTCCATTAGCTGACATCATTACTCAGTGTGACTACTATTATAACTAGGATGTCCATTCGCTGACATCATTACTTAGTGTGACTACTATTATAACTAGGATGTCCATTCGCTGACATCATTACCCAGTGTGACTGCTACTATACCTAGGATGTCCATTAGCTGACATCATTACTCAGTGTGACTACTATTATACCTAGGATGTCCATTCGCTGACATCATTACTCAGTGTGACTACTATTATAACTAGGATGTCCATTCGCTGACATCATTACTCAGTGTGACTACTATTATAACTAGGATGTCCATTCGCTGACATCATTACTCAGTGTGACTGCTACTATACCTAGGATGTTTATTCGCTGACATCATTACTCAGTGTGACTACTATTATACCTAGAATGTCCATTAGCTGACATCATTACTCAGTGTGACTACTATTATACCTAGGATGTCCATTCGCTGACATCATTACTCAGTGTGACTACTATTATAACTAGGATGTCCATTCGCTGACATCATTACTCAGTGTGACTACTATTATAACTAGGATGTCCATTCGCTGACATCATTACTCAGTGTGACTACTATTATACCTAGAATGTCCATTAGCTGACATCATTACTCAGTGTGACTACTATTATAACTAGGATGTCCATTCGCTGACATCATTACCCAGTGTGACTGCTACTATACCTAGGATGTCCATTCGCTGACATCATTACTCAGTGTGACTACTATTATACCTAGAATGTCCATTAGCTGACATCATTACTCAGTGTGACTACTATTATACCTAGGATGTCCATTAGCTGACATCATTACTCAGTGTGACTACTATTATACCTAGGATGTCCATTCGCTGACATCATTACTCAGTGTGACTACTATTATAACTAGGATGTCCATTCGCTGACATCATTACTCAGTGTGTGACTACTATTATACCTAGGATGTCCATTCGCTGACATCATTACTCAGTGTGACTACTATTATACCTAGGATGTCCATTCGCTGACATCATTACTCAGTGTGACTACTATTATACCTAGGATGTCCATTCGCTGACATCATTACTCAGTGTGACTACTATTATACCTAGGATGTCCATTAGCTGACATCATTACTCAGTGTGACTACTATTATACCTAGAATGTCCATTAGCTGACATCATTACTCAGTGTGACGACTATTATACCCAGGATGTCCATTCGCTGACATCATTACTCAGTGTGACTACTGTTATACCTAGGATGTCCATTCGCTGACATCATTACCCAGTGTGACGACTATTATACAAGGATGTCCATTCGCTGACATCATTACTCAGTGTAACTACTATTATGCCTAGAATGTCCATTCGTTACATTGGCTTTATAGAATTAACTAAAAGTAATACGTCAGAAAATTTGCCTCCACAAGAACATTCTAGGGGATCTTCCATGAAACTTGATTTGCATCTAAAACTGATACAGTTCGTTAATATACGTTAATCTGAGGTAACAAATAGAACATTCCAACACTAGACGATGTCATTTGGTGCAGTCGTCGGTCATGATGTTAACTGTACCTACGAGCTTAAGTATTGACCTTTTTGACATACTGAGTTATATGTGCACATGTGCACATATGATATATATGACACTGTTATGTTTCACCATAGGTAACAAATACCTTTGCGAATGTTACACAGAGGTCCTTTGTAGTTTTCGATGCAGCCTTGGGTGCAGTGTCCGTTGTGTTGATTACATATCTTGTTGAGGCACTTTTCACTACAGTTGACTGAACAAGTTATTCCATACCAGCCAGGAATACACCCCTCTGAGCACTCTCCATTTGATTTCCTGCAGTGTTTTGTCGTATTATTGTTCACGAGGGCGCAATGGCAGGAACAGTTTCGTTCACAGCTGTTGCCAAACTTTCCCCACTGACACTGGACAGCATTGGCCACACCTACAATATAATGTCAAGATAGTTTCAATTGGGGGACAGTTTTATATCCGTAGTGTAAAAGAAGACATTTACCAATTTAGTGTAACCAGCAGACCCCAAAGTATTGCGGGCAATAATTAGCATAGATTGATGATTCAAACTCACGGGAACCGAAACATGCATGATTACAGGGAACATTTCTTTTCACAGCAAATTCTGCCTCGTACAGCGAGGGGGACGCTACGTGTAAATAAACCACAGAACTTTTTAGATTTATTTTAGATACTGAAAGCGTGGTGTCGATTGCATTCAAATGTATAACTACAATGACAGCTACTAAAAGAATTACTCACAAAGAATAACGGCAAGAAGTAGAAATTCTAAGTACATGGTATCATCATTTCTCAGATTGTCATGTAGCCACTCTTCTTTAGGCTGCAAAGAAAAAATGTACGCGCATCAAAACACGCAGAAATCATGAAATATAAGTAGTAACACGAAGTACTGGACAAAATATTGGTATTGTCGGTAAATATATTGTTCAAGAAACTTTATGTCTGTTGAACCTAACGCCAAAGCACGTCCGTAAATTGGCACTCGGTACAGCAGGAAATTAGAAATCAGTCATGATTTTGGAAACATTTTTAAGAAAGGTAGATTAGTGTCTATGGACACTATGTCTGTCAATTGGTAATATTCCGCTTATCATACAAATGAGATTAGTTTAAAAACTGCCCCATCCCAAAATGTCCCAATTGATGACTTAATGGTACTTGGGGCTTTTGGTAGTTGATGAGTGGGTTTTCAAATCGTGCACGTTCTGGAACAAACCGTTGCCAGTGATATCTGTATTTCCTTTTTGCTTATATTATAGCCAAATGCATTTTTAACTTTCTCGCGTAAGGAAGGAAGTTGTAACCAAAACCTGAACTGTAAACCCGAGCATGTGAATCACATCATTACTGGACTATACACCGACCCACCGTTGCTTGTGGAGGGTGTACTTGGGAAATAGGGAGGAAAATACCTTACCGTGAGTATATGTTTGAACGACTAAGAGCCATGATTACATGATACTGCACGCGTTAAACCAAAATTTTAGGCTCAGTTTATATGCTCGATAGTCGCATATTCAACTTATATTTACATGTAACTGTTTCTTTTCAGGTAAAGATGGATTTGTTGCTTCTAATTGTCATTACTAATGTCCCAGTCACCTTGAAAGGTAAGTATCTATCATAATGAACTACTTTCTAAGGTATGTAAAAATATATCGTGTATTAAACGTGTTTTCGAATAGAAAATACGAATCATGTAATACAAAGATATGCCTGCTTATAACTAAATAATTGGCCCTGTTAAATCTCTTGACCTGAAGCTTCTGATCAAAAGACATCACCAAGTTTGACCAAGCACCAGTGACCAGATGAATGTCCAGTCCAATTGCCTGTTATGACTTTGGATGTCGACTACTTTCCGGTTAAATGGCGGAATTTAATGGCGCTTAAAATGGTTCTACTACTTGTGAGGGTGATCATCTCTTTATGATTGAGTGAGTGAGTTTAGTTTTACGCCGCACTCAGCAATATTCAGCTATATGGCGGCGGTCTGTAAATAATCGAATCTGGACCAGACAATCCAGTGATCAACACCATGAGCATCGATTTGCGCAATTGGGAACCGATGACATGTGTCAATTAATTGGATATCTGTGATACACTAGTAGTTTTGCTGTTCTTCTTCAACAGGTTTTAATTTCTAATTTTATTGATGTGTGATATAATCATCAACTGTTCTCATCACGATATGGCTGAAATATTGCCGATGTGACGATAAATATTAACTTACTCACTCACTCACTCACTCACTCACTCACTCACTACTTCTGTTAAATGGCGTAATTTAATGATGTTAACAACGATTTTGCAGACTGTGATGGTGATCATCTTTAATGCAGAAGTATATAAGCATTTGGTTGAGTCTGATGCTCCTGGTCTTAAGATAATGCTTGCAGTAATTTCATGCATTACATGATAAGAACTTAAATAAGTAATATATAAGTAAATCTGCTCACATTACAGCTGCAACATGTGGTGTGCAGCAACACTGCTCAGACTGTCATGGGGTGATAGGGCATTGTCTCACTGGTTGCGAGGATGGACTGCAAGAAGAGCCTTTGTAAACTGAACGAGCGAGGTCTTCAGGTATGCACGGAAGGTTGCATACCAGGGTATCGCGGTCGAAACTGTGATAGCCAGTGTGATAGCCCAGGGGTCGAATGTACAAAGTGTCCACACGTGTGTGATGGCGGATATTGTCAGACTGATTCAACTTGTTTTTCTGGGTGCGTTGGTTCCTATTATGGTTCGAACTGCAAGAACTGTTCAGTAGATGTAAATCCTGCAACAGGATTACAGGACATTGTGAGAAGTGTAATCCGCCTTATGCTGGACCGTCCTGTGAACACACCTGCGGCCATTGTTTGGAGCCCAGTGGATGCAACAATGGATGTCAGCATGGTTGTGTACCAGGATTTTATGGCAAGTTTTGTGACGAGGAGTGCAGTGTTCACTGTCAACCTAACCCGATTACCGTTGCAAGCAACTGTTCAGCTCCAAAAAAGACCAACAATTGTCTAGGTGAGTGTAACAAAGTGACGGGTGCCTGTACACACGGGTGTGTCAATGGAAGACATGGTTTCAACTGTTCCCTCCAGTGTAATCCCAGATGCGTGTATGGTAAATGTCATGCTACTGGAGTTTGTGTTGAGGGTTGTTCACTTGGATCTTATGGAACAGACTGTGTGCCATGTCCTGCCAACTGTGTCAATCAGCTATGCAACTCCACGAATGGATCATGCATCAGTGGGTGTACAAATGGGTCATACGGAGAGTTCTGCGACCACTGGTGTCCAAGATGCCCGGATGGCATGTGCCATCAGTGGACAGGTGCGTGTACCAAAGGATGCGAGGCTAGTTTCGGTGGCTTCAGATGTGAACATGACTGTGCCAATGACTGTTCCTTAGCGGACTGTATGACAAAGAACGTATGTGAAACAGGTAAGCTGGTTTAAAACGATTAATATACAGTTGTTGTTTTTTCTAATGTCCTACATGTACAAAGTTTATTTAGTTGCAGTATAATCAGAAATGTGCTTCAACGTCTGCTCCTTCCTTAATGAGATTCAGTGTCATTCCAGTGGAAAGTGTACATACTCAGACAGCACGAGGAATGTGAATTTCTGTGAACACTCCTTATCACTGAAATGATTCTGTGAGTCCAGAGAAGTGAGCGCATATCAACATTTGTCAAAAGGTATATGAGAGGACACAGCATGAAGTATTTGCATTTGTGTTTGATTTTGATATGACTGTTCAACTCTGAATTTGACATTTCCTTTTTTGGTGTCTACGTTTATATTCTGCCCGAAGTTGGCCATTTTTGTCTCTCATCTGCAAGCCTAAGTACATATAGGACTGACCTTCCACACGATGGTCCATCATCCCCCACCCAAGTAAACTGATCCTCCTCTCTTGTTTGTTAAATCGTGTCTCAATTCTTATTTATGATATTTAATACGGGTTACGGGATGATTTCTCATTTATCACTGACAGAGGTAATACTCTACATTAAACATAAAGATGCAAGTCAAAGGGGCACATTAATTCTGTATTACGTTCGTCTACAGGATCTACTAATGTGTTCCTGGGTGGAACCCTAGCTGCTGCGTTGATGTTTGCAGCGTGTATCTTGCTGGCAGCTCTGTTCTACTGCCGAAGGAGAATGAACACAAAGAGGTCAGATTGTTTTATGTACGTATACTGTTTACTTGTTTTGTTGCATATCCTTTTAACAACCTAAGCAAAAGGCAGTGGATGATTTCTACCACACGTTTAGACTGTTTTGTTCGAAAATCAATTTAGAACCATTGGAACCAATCTTACGATGCGACGTTTGATTGATGTGATACATGACGGATATGAAAGATGGGAGTTGAGATCACCTTAGTGCTGAGATTACATTGTGAAACTGGGCTGATCAGGGGAACATATAATATCCAGTCTGATGATGGGACCTCGTCCAGTGCGATTAGTAAGAACATCACCATAGAAACCTACACTGACGTAAACTTAAGCTCTTGTACTGTCATGGTATTACCGCCATTTATTGTTTTGGGTTTTTTTCAACACAACAGAACCTGGAATGCAACCTCGGTGGCTGATAGAGAAACTCCCTCTCCCCTTTACGAAACCCTACATATATACAGTGAAGTTCGCGACAACGGCACTTCCGCAGTTTATGTGCCTCGACACAATGACAAAAACGAAGATGCAAATATTAAGGTTCACGCCTTGGCTGACCACTTCAACAAAACAGAAAACACGGAGCTTGGGTATCAGTCAATCCCAGAAAGTCATTTTGCATATTCCGTGTCATATTCACACTTAATGAATGATGTCGTTGTTGATGACCCTTATCAGCATGAACTCCGGTTCACAGTCAAATGCGATTGACAGTTCCACAAAGACGTTTAACTATATGAATATTAAGACATGCTGCAGAAGCGCATCATCAGAAACGCATATCTTGTTTTAGTAAGCCATTAGCTTGTTTATTTGTATAACCTTTTTCTGGCCATGTGGTATTGAATAAAAAGGATGTAACGCCATTAGGTCAGGAGTTAAGTGACGGTCCTATCGATTAACATAGAATACAATTGAAACTGTAACAGATCTGACTGTTAGATAATGAATGACTGGACTGTGTTCTAGCCCATTGAGCAATAATTTTCACATACCACGACGTATTAATTTTATGTTTGCAAACACAATTTATACCACACGGAGATTTAGATTATTAAAACATGCAAAATGGATCTAGAGAGGGCCCCTCTACGTATAGAGTTACACTGAAGTCAGCCATGTGAGACCTTCAACTGGTTTCATTGTATTCAACCCCTGTACATTTGTAAGTGGGCTTTAATTGCGCACTAAAATTGTATCTGCCTCAGATAGTTTGGATATGTATATAACATGATTTTTTATGAATTATATATTTCCAGATATGTTTTACTTTGTTGAATATTACTGCTTGACTGCTTTTCATACTGATATTTGTTTGCTATCGTCACAGTATGTTATTTTTGAAACATAGTATATTCATTAATCCAGATTATTTCACAAATTTTACTCTTATTAAGTGTTCTGAATATGATTATGCTACAAATATTTCGGCTTCAGTGGATGTTTTTGTTAATAGTTTCTTCTGTTTATGTTTTATTCGTGTGGTTATTTTCTTCGCTACCGAGTTGCGTTGATCCGAGCTACACAGCTGTATGACGGGGCTTGTATGGACTGTGTGCATGTGCATGTATTTATATATAGGGGATGCTAGTGGATGCTAGTCATTGTTCTATTTCAATACTGAATACAAAATGTATATGTACTGACTGTTAATCAACACAAGCAGTAACACAACACCAATGACAAAGATCCTAAATATAACTTGCCTGAACATTTATACTGACTGATTTGTTTGGGCTATAGATGTAACCTTTGCTCATTTCCATATGTATTATGTACATGGACGACTGCAGGTCCAGAGAACAACATCTGACTAATGTATACACTCACAGTAGCAATGCACAATGGTGGTCATGTAGACCGCTTTCCTGCTAACTAAGTTTCCTGGGGAAAAGAGAGACGCAGCAGCCTGTTAGGTCACCTTCTGTATAGGCATGGAACAGCTGTAGTGGAACGTGTTTCGACGTAAACGCCTGCTTCACGTTCTTTTGAAATCCTCCACGCTTCAGTGTGCATTGATTTGAATAATGCGAAGTGGGTTAGTGAGATTAGTTTTATGCCGCATTTAGTAATATTCCAGCTTTAGAACAGGGAGCACCTTCACATAATCTACCAACAAGAATGGATCCCATACCTTTCATGCGATGAGCATCCACTCTAACCACTAGACTACCCAGCAACTACTACAAAAATGACAAAGTATAGGCTGGTCACGTTGTATAATAGGAGGAGCGTTATATGAAATATTCAGTAAAATTGGACAATGCTACTGGCTGAGAGAGTACAAATTACATGTAAAATACTTTAATTTCATTCGTCAACACGGTCAATAACAAGTTTCCGTGTCTCCCCTCCGAGGAGGGCGCTGTAGCAACCCACTATGTTATAACAACGCACTATGTAATAAAATCTTCAAAGTGCAAAAACATTTTGGACATTTTCCATTTCCATTCCATTTTCCAGGCTTACGCAAAAGTACCAACGCTCTTTGTAATAAAATCGCCTATGTCCGAAATGTTTTTGGACTTTGAAGATTTTATTACATAGTGCGTTGTTATTACATAGTGGGTTGCTACTAGAGTAACCCAGTTTGTAATAACCCGTTATGTAATAAAATCGTCTAAGTGCGAAACTGTTTTGGATTTTGAAGAGTTTATTATATAGTGCGTTGGTATTACATAGTGGGTTGCTACAGGGCGCCAACTGGAAAAAATATTACCCGCTGCCACGGTAACCGCCAAACTCTCCCCGAGAAGTTGTATCGCTAACAATCGTATGACGTCATAATTACGAAAACCGTTGGATTAGCCTTTTCACTTCACTATGTACACATTTACACTGCTTTATTTTAAATATTTTTATAGATAGAGCTTGCACACTCAACTTAAACATGATTAACCATTTCTATAGCAGTTTTAAGCTTGTGAGAATATGTTTCACTGATTATAAAAATCGAGTCGAGAGGCAGACGCCATTTTGTTTACATGTTATATAGTCGGTAGCGAGCTTATCGATCGCTGCTACAAACACTGCTACAAAAAGGCGTATATCAAACCGTATTACCCTCGCAAGAAGCATGCAACTTATTACACACACACATGCACGCACGCACGCACAAACAAACAAACAAACAAACAAACAACACAAACTACAAGGGTAATTGGTAAAGGTTGAAGTCAACATCTTCTTAATGTTTAGTTTTCTGCTTTGACCATGTCTAAATCTTATTTTACCCGAGTTTGACATTGCAGTTCTCGTCCCAAACACGTGCAAACACAAGTTAACTGTACAAGTCAAAATAGGCATCGGGGATCATGTCAAAGGTGAAAATGTCTTACATATGTCTTCCATCAGACGTTTTAAAGGTGAGGACACCAAGCTTAAGTTCTCAAATACATACTTGATTTTACTTTAAAAAACAGAACAGAAATTCCAAGTCTTTTTACATAAAGAAACATGCCAAAAAGACATTCGTCGCATATTCACACTAAACGTGGAAACATAAAAGTGATCTAACCTAAAACCCAACAAACGTTACACCACGCCTATTTGAAAATAAGCGGTTGTTTGCAATTTGAATGCTTGAAATAGAACATGCTCAAAACGCAGTTCTTGGGTATTTTGATGTTATACGGTGAATACCGTACATTAACTATGGGAGTTGTTTGCCAACAGCATGAGCATCGACCTACCCAACTGGGATACGATGACACAAGCATTTATTACTGAAGTCCAGTTCTAACCCGGATCTTCACGGGTTTATCAGGTACAGAAACACCACAACTACACACTTGTGTTAGCCAGCTTCAGATGTATAGAGGTCAGTACTCTATGTCAAAACTTGTTAGAGAGGAAAAAAATCCAATACAAAAAACTTCGCTAAAAAGACGCAAAATGCTTTCGTTCGCAACGGTAAAAAGTGAATCATGAAACAGGGGCTTCCTGTTTATATATTATTCTTGGGAAAATATTAATCATGATTGTAGGAGGCAAGTAAATAGAATCACGAACGTATATGCAGTTGATTTCATAACTCAAAGTTTTATTGTATCTCAATGAGAAATAATACATGGAGTAATGAACCGTTGTTTCTTTGTTTGTTGTTTACAACCGCACTCAGGAATATTCCAGCTTTATAGCGGCAGACTGTAAATAATCGAGTCTGGATCAGGCAATCTAGTGATCAACAGCATGAGCATGGCTCTCCGCAACTTGGATGCGATGACATGTGTCAACCAAGTCTGCGAGCCTGACCACCCAATCCCACTAAGACAAGCATAGGTTGCTGTAGAGCAATTTTAACCCGGATGAAAAAGCGAACAAGAAAGTGTCTAACCTACCCTTCACAAGCGAAGATGTTGTCAACTATAGCGAAGGCCCAGCAACGTCCCGTGTGCCTAGAATATATCTCACATGTATATTTCACCCGTTGTCATGTGACAGCGTACAATGCTGTATACCTATCGGAGTCCTTTGGAAAAGACAGCCAAGCGTGAACCTATTCACCAAGCAAAGCGAGTACTGTTTAAGTGGCAAGAGGATAACATGTCATGTCTTTACATTCCACCTCAAGTGACTTATGCTATGATGAGTTCTAATGTCAGTTATCTCTGCAAGAAATCAAGCAGTATACAGTATGCAGTACGCGGTATGCAGTACATAAACCCTTGTGACATCCACTTACTGAATCCGCATCAGGATGGACATATTAATATGGAAAATAAGGACATAGTTTAACAAATATTTCATCACATGTTATGCTATTTGAAATTGTGAATCTTAGAAACTATATTCCACGATCATAAACCTGTAAAGGGTCACATTGATAACGAACATCGGACGTAATCAGGGACCAGTTTATTTTATTCTGTTGTACAATTAGAGTTGAGCTTTTGGGCGCAGTACATATATCTTTATCATCCATTCTTATCAAATCGCACATCCCACGTGTACAAACAAGAGAAGAGGATGACGAGGAAAGAAATTGACTGTTTAAGAACACTACTGATTGTCTAACTCATGACGACCTTCTCATTCTGTGTGTTGTCTTTGCTTTACTTTATTTATCAATTTATTCACTGACAAATGGGTGTGTTCATACACTATAACTGCGTTTTGAAAAATTGAATTTTGTTACCCCGAAGAAATGCATGTATGGGAAAAGATGGATGAATGGTGAAGTCAAACTCATTTTAACGTTTAGATTGGCGCATAATGCTTGACAGATGCTCGTATGAAGATTTTAATGTATTAGTCTGTATATTTTACTATAACAGTAAAATTGCAATACCCTGTATATGCGACTTACGCAAAACATCGACACTCCAGCGTTCCATGTAACGCTACACCTAGCTGAAATCTCACATCCCACATGAACAAGCGAGAGAGGACGAGGGGATTTATGGTGAAATAACTTGTCAGCAATATTCATATAATAGCCAATGAGAACTTCAGGCTTTAGCTCAAAAATATTCTTGTAAAAAAAGAGAGGTAGATTTTATTGCCTTTTCATTGATTTCTCAAAGGCTTTTGACACAATAAGACATGATGTTCTCTTGCAATCTTTAGCTGAAGTTGGTATTTCTGGTAATTTTTTAATATAGTATCATCAGTGTACAGCAGTTTATCTGCATGTGTTAAAACTTCAAAGGGTTTATCTAAGTGCTTTACATGTAATATTGGTACCCTTCAGGGTTGTGTGTTTAAGCCCACAGCTGTTTATCATATTTATTAATAAGTTGTTTTCCTTAATGGAACAGGACGGTGGTATAGGGGTTAATGTTTCATCTGATTTTAACAATTTGTGTTCACTTATGTTTGCTGATGATGTTTCTGTACTTTCTGATACATGTAACCAATTACAACAGAAGATAAATGCACTTGAATGTTTTTGTAACCAAACTGGAATGTGTACGTATGGTGTATGTGTGTGTGCGTTGCATTTGTGTGTGTTGATGTGTATGAGTGGTGTGTATATATGCACATATGGAATGTGGTGTGCGTGTGGTATGTGACGTGTGCGTCTTTGTGTTGTGTGTGTGCGCGTGTATGCATTGCATCTGGCGCGTGTGTTGTATGTGTGGTGTGTTCCTGGTATGTGGTGTGTCTGCACGTGTACGTGGTGTGTGTATGAGTGTGTGGTATGTGTATGTATTTAGCATGTTGGTCGTTTACGGTGGGTTTGTTCTGTGTCCACGTGGTATGTGTGGTTGACGCTACTACTTGTTGAAAACGAAATATGTTTTGATGGTGTGTATGCGACGACGCCACTACGTTAGTATTAAATGTTACAAAATAATTTAAAACTTGAACTGGGTAGGACAGACACTAAACCAAAACAAATAAGCAAACCGGCAGACTTTTGGTGACTCATTTTCCCGACAGAAACATTACCGGTTCAAATAATTTGACGTTGGTACAGTACAATACGAAAATAAATCTGGGACAATGAATGTTTTCGACGGGAGAGCTCAGAAATAGGCAAACACGTCTTTCACGACAAACCAGTTTGGGTGCATTCGTTCTTAGGTCACGTTGACCTATCTGTTATGTCTAATACCTACTGCTTTAACATAAAACTGAGCTTTTGTAAAGGTACGTTAAAATGTACCCGCTGTTTTCTATTTCGAAATAGAAAGATGAAGTCTATTCAGGAAACTTAGTGAAGCCTTACTAACTTCCATATGTACAGGGGAAGAAGTAAAAGTAAGTTCGCAAGCATGAGAGAGTTGGGGAGTGAAAGCAAGGGTGTGACAAAAAGTTAGATAGTCTTAGGTGAAGGAAGGCAAAGAAACTGATTGTTTAAGAACAGATTTAATGGACTACATGTTTGTCTAATTAATGACGTCCTTTTCATTCTGTGTGCTTTCTTTACGTTACTTTCTTTTACCAATTTGTTCACTGAAAATGGGTGTGTTTATACGCAATCTCTGCGTTGTGAATAACTGAATGTTTCTAAGAATAAACATATTCTGAATTTGAATAAATTGACTCCAAGACTAATGTAACGTGTTTTATCTGCTGTTTTTACCAGTTTTGAATCGAAGAAAGATATGTATGGGGAAAACAGATGTACTTTTTACTGTATTAGTCTGTATATCTTACTTTATCATCCAAACTGTGTTCCACAGGAAATATCGCTTGTGAGAGACCATATGATGTCTCCTAGGAGACATCGTTTTGACAGTAGATTTGTACAATGCCCTGACAATGTTATGACATCATGAACTTGATGACGTCACAATGCTACGACATCGCTGCACTGCAAGTCTAATGGTAGTACAGTGTTGAGAGATGTTCATTGTTCATTGAAAACAAATCAAGAATGATTTTTGATGATAAATAAAATCTCACCCTCGTGTCTACTGATATCAATTATATCAACTCGTGTTGATATAATTGATATCAGTAGACAGTTGGGTGAGATTCTCTATATAAAAGTAAAATTGCAATATCCTGTCTATGCGAGATACCCACAAAGTCAGCACTCCGGCGTTCCATGCAACGCTACACCGAGCTGTTTGTGGAAATACTATTGGTCATGGAAGCAGCAGGTTGTTCTAGAATCACGGACAAAATATGATTTTTATCACAAGTATGAATCATATAACATTTATAACATGTTTGTGTTTGTATGGTAAGGAAGCATGTGAACACCAGGAATGCATGTAACATGAGTGGTACATAACATATCGATGTTCTTAAAACGCGTGTGCTTTCAAATTAGCACTCAGTGCTTATTTGGGTTGCTGATAACATTCACACCCGTGAAGATCCGGGTTAGAACTTTCTCCAGCATCAACTTGTCGTAGGCGGCGATTAACGGCATCGGATGGTCAGGCTCGCTGACTTGGTTGGCACATTTAATTGGTTCCTGATTGCGCAGATCGGTGCTCATGATGTCAGTCACTGGATTGTCGGGTCCAGGCTCGATTATTTACAGACCAACATCATGTAGCTAAAATATTGCTGAGTGCTGTGTTAAAAACAAACAAACAAAACACCCTGTCTCATTTCGGGTCCTCGTTATAAGGCTAGTTTCAACAAGGCGAAGTTGCTCAATACGACCTTTCTGCTTAAACGTTCCGGGTAAATCTTCTCGACGCTAAGATCGTTTCGTGCAAGGGTCCCAGGACGGACGATGGTCGCTTGTTGTGTCCTTTGATTATTTTTTAAACTGATGTGTCGTGATATAATTATGTATAAAACCACACACTCACTGTACATATGATAATTATTTTGATATATTATTTTTATAGGATATTTATATAGCGCACAAACCCACGCAACTAGTACGTGTTCCTTTGATCAACGGATGTCTTTATTCTGGAATTTATTTTTTAACCGACTCAACTCCCCTTGGGAGTATTCAACTGAAGCTGCCTGTTCGGCGCAGAGAGTTATCACACAGCCATCTGTGTCCACCATCTGGTCACCTACCATCGGATGAGTGGGCTCTTTAAGTGCACAGGGTTGTGTACTGCACACTAGGGGTTGTGACGACACTGAAAGAACCTGCAGGAAATGTTAGCTCCAAGGTTTTACACCCGGTCACACGTGGAGATCATTCCTTCACAATATATCATTGTTACATTACGTTACAAAATGGATGAATACTTTCTTTATATAACGTTAGCTACCGTGCGCCCTGATCACGGGTGTGATACATAGTAGTTTTAAGTATCCACATAGAAAATGTTGGCGAACAAAGGCAAGTTGACGTCAACACGTAAGGCCCACCATGTTTTTGTTACAATTATTCATAACACCGTGACGTTATGTAGTCCCCTGATTAATGCGTCACATATGCGTCTGTTCTGCATTAATGGGTTGGTTGTTTTTTTATGAAATAGAAGACGATCCAACCAACTGCCAAGTCAGTGAATTGAGTCTGTTTCATTCATCGTGAAGATGTCGACGCCTACGTGGTCTGAACAAAGGACAAAGGCAAACTGATGCATGCATATGTGAGATAAGTTGCCTCTCGATAAGAAACAATGTGTTGTACAGAGTAACAACAAGACCATATTATGTATCGAGAGCTTCCATCCCCAAGAGAGAAAACAAGCTTGAGATGACAGGACCACGGTTGACGTTTCGCCCCCTTAAGCAAACGCATAACTGCAAATTCCCTCCTAAAAATGTGACTGAAAACCAAGTAATCAGGCCTATTTATATACGTGATTTTAAGTGACTACAGTGTGCATTTTGCATATGAACCCAGTTAGGCGTGAGATTTATCAGTTTCGTCATTGGGGGCGTAAAATGAGTACTAAAAGCGTGAGTCTCAAGCCAAAGGCGTGAATTGGCAGGCATCAGGGGAAAGAAATGTAATAGCCTAAACAACTTTTGCTGATGAGTGTGACCAAACAAATAGTCACAGTACGCGGTATCAACTGGGCAAGAAGTTTAACCTTAGCATCGGGATTTGATTTTATATCGTCCATTATCCGCCACTCAGACATTAACAGCGATTACAGTTTTAAGCAATTTGAAACACGCATTGAAATTCAAACTTCCGTTCTTGATTTAAATAGGTCAGTAATCATGTCAGGATTTA